CACATAACAATGTACGTATAAACTTTTGTATGAGAAACTAACTTGAATTGTAAACTTTAACTTAAAGCACAACAATTAAAAAAAAAAAAAAAAGATTACAGCCTTGGAAACCCTATGGGGCAGTTCTTCTCTGTCCTATAGGGTCACTATGAGTTGGAGTCGGAATCGACTCAACGACAGTGGGTTGGGTTTGGTCTGGTTAACATTTTATCTATGGCTCATTTTTAAATGGTTCAGCAAAAATTTCACTGTTTACTAACATCAGTGCCTTCTTGTCAATTTAAAACGAAAACAATGTGTATGTGTATTTGTGTGTGTGTGTGTGTGGAATGAGAGATAAACAGCAAACATGGTAAAATGTCAACTGGCGAATCTAGATGAAGGGCATACTGGTGTTGTTTGTACTATTCTTTTAACTTCCTTGTAGGCTTAAAATTTTTCAAAATAAAAAGTTGGGAAAATGTTGGAGCCGACATTTACAAGCTGTGAGGTATCATGTTATTTCAGATTTCCAGATGCTCTTAAAAAAACAAACAAAAACCCAAAACCAACCAAACCCATTCCCATAGAATCGATTCCGACTCATAGCGACCCTATAGGACAGAGTAGAACCGCCCCTTAGGGTTTCCAAGGCTGTCACCTTTACAGAAGCAGACTGCCACATCTTTCTCCCACACAGTGGCTAGTGGGTTCGAACTGCCGACCTTTTGGTTAGCAGCTGAGCACTTAAACACTGAGCCACCAGGGCTCCTTAAAAAAAACCCCAGTCTGGAATTCCTGCTCAGCAGCCATGGACAGCAGCAAATAAAGGGGCAGAGACAGACCCACTTGGCCGTTTGGCTTCCCTGGGTCATCCCAGGGCCCTGTAGGCATCTCAGACCTTCCACAGCTTGCTCTGAGCTTCTACAAGGCCACGCCTATAAAAAATCCAACAATTAACCAGTGAGTCAAAGCGGAGGGGTGCTGCCCTCCAGCGGCCATTTGTAATATTGGGGATGATTTTGGTTGATGCTGAATGCCTCGGTGGTGCAGTTTGTGCTCTGCTGCTAACAGAAAGGCTAGAGGTTCAAGTCCACCCAGTGGCACCGTGGAAGAAAAGGCTTCTGGGGATCTGCTTCTTTTAAGATTGTTGTTGTTGCTGAGTGCCTTCGAGTTGATTCCGACTTATAACAACTCCATGTGACAGAGCAGAACTACCCCATAGGGTTTTCTCGGCTATAATCTTTACAGAAGCAGATTGCCAGATCTTTCCTCCACAGAGCCACTGCGTAGGTTCAAACTGCCAACCTTTTGGCTAGCAGCCAAGCGCTTAACTGTTGCGCCACCAGGGCTCCCTCTTTTAAGATTACAGCCAAAAAACTCTATGGAGCAGTTCTGCTTTGTAACACATGGGTCGCTATGAGTCGGAATCAACTCAGTGGCAACTAACAACTTTGGTTAACACAGAGTCCCCTGGTGGTGCAAACCGTTAGAGTACTGGGCTGCTAACTGAAAGGCTAGAGGCTCAAGGCCACCCAGAGGCACCTCGGAAGAAAGGCCTGGTGATCTACTTCCGAAAAATCAGCCATTGAAAACCCTGTGGAACCCAGCTCTACTCTGACACACGTGGGGTCACCACGAGTCAAAGTTGACTCCACGGCAACTGGTTTATTTTTTGGTTGACACTGTGCTGGAGACCCATAGTAGGCAGTAGACAGGGCCAGAGATACTAGACAGCCTGCAACACTAGAGCCAGCCCCACACAACCGTCCTGTGTCCTGCGAGCCTTCTGAATGTCCCACCGGACATCCATGTCAGTGACCAACCTGTTTAAAATGAGCAGAGCCCAGGATCTAGCTACTCTGGTTTACATACATAGTGGAGTGTTTTTTCCCACAATTTTAACATACGTTGAATATGCAAGAACCGCAGCCATCCTGTTATTTGAGGGAAAACTGGATTTTGTTTAGACTGAGAGTCGCTTGACGCTTTGGAAAATCCAGTTACCAATGGGAACCCCACATATGGCATTTAAATTCGCACCTTTGGGTCAGGCTACGTTTGTGGCTGCCGCATTAACAAAGAGTCCACTACAATCGCATGCATCTGCCTCCTTCCTGATGTTTGCCGTGGGGCTGTGCCAAAGCATTTACATACAAACAAATGTGCTTATGGTGTTGTTATTGTTCGCTGCCATCAAGTCCACTCCGACTCAGGGCAACTTTACTTTAACAGAAGGAAACATTACATGGTCCCGCGCCATCTTTACGATCAGCAGTATGTCTGAGTCCATTGTTGTGACTACTGTGTAGTGCCTTCCAGCCTAGGAGGCTCATCTTCCAGCACTCTACTGGACAGTGTTCTGTTGTGATCCATAAAGTTTTCATTGGCTGATTTCTGGAAGTGGATTGCCAGACCTTTCTTCCTAGTTTGTCTTAGTCTGGAAGCTCTGCTGAAACCTGTCCACCATGGGTGATCCTGCTGGTATTGGAAATACCAGTCACATAGTTTCCAGCAACACAGCAACACACAAGTCACCATAGTATGACAAATTGACAGACGGGTGGTGGAAATATGCTTATATGATGTGGTAATTACCTTTTATTTCTATTTCTCCTTTATATTACAGTTATGGTGGTGGCGCAGTGGTTAAGAGCTACGGCTGCTAACTAAAAGGTTGGCAGTTCGAATCCACCAGCCGCTCCTTGGAAACCCTATGGGGGCAGTTCTACTCTGTCCTATACGGTTGCTGTGAGTCAGAATTGACTCGATGGCAACGGGTTTGGGTTTTTTGTTTGTTTGTTTGTTTGTTTATGAGAGGAGAAAGGCGCTCTGGTGGCAAAATGGTTAAGCACTCAGCTGCTAACTGAAAGGCTGGTGGTTCAAACCCACCCAGCAGCTGCAAAATGACCTGATGATCTGCTCCCGTAAAGATTACAGCCAAGAAAACCCTATGGGGTAGTTGTACTCTGTCACACGGGGTTGCTATGTGTCAGAAACAACTCCATGGCACCTAACAACATCAACAACCTGAGTGGAGGTAGGTAATATTATCCGTACATTTCCTTGAGTCAAATAGGATTAAAGCCATTCATTTAACCAGTTCCTCGCTCTAATATGAGGAGATTCTGAAAAGCTCAGCGTCAACAGTCTCAGGATTTATGAGAACTCCGGAGCTGAAAGTGTTCCAGCTTTGAGATGCCACGCGGGATCCCGAATAAGATGTGTAGCCTTGGGGTAAACCAGACCTGGCACCAAATCCAGGCTCTGCTATTGGCCAAGTGTGTGAGAAACCTCTCCAGTCTTATTGTCCTCATCTGTAAAATGCATATAATTAAGCATGCACTTCAGGAGCACTCAGTAAAGGTGTTTACAGGTAGCCCTTGACTTACGACGTATTTGAGTTACGACAAACTGCATTTACGACCGTCCATTTTTTTTTTAGTAATGTGTTGCAGCAAGTAATTTGCTGATGTTATCATTCTCAGACGTTCACTCACAGATGTTTAATTTTATGATTTACTGTTCAAAACTTTGCCAGATATATAAAGATACTGATAATAAAAGGCAATAACAATGAAAACTAAAAAAAAAAAAAAAAAGGTATTCGACTTACGTCACAACAAACTTACGATGAAGTCATCGGAACGGAACCCTGTCCTAAATCGGGACTACCTGCATTACTACAGCAAACTCACTGTGTGTCCCTGAGCAAGTAAAGTACCCTCTCTGAGCCTCAGTTTCCTCAGTACCCTCTCAGGGATAAAAATTCTGAATCTAGATATGGAGACAGGTCATCCCTATTGTTGGACATTTATTGTCCTAACTTTTTTAAACCGAAACCAACACGGAGCCAGAAAAACTGCCTGGAAGTATTTAGAAATAAAAAGTTCTAAGAACCAACGGGAGTTCCTGGGTATTGCAAATGATTAAGCGCTCAACTACTAGCCAAAAACT